AAAAAAAAAAAGCTGTTAAATAAAAAGTGGAAGAAGAAAATAAAGCAAGTTTTATAGCAAAAGAAACGATGTCAAAGGTTTTTTGCAAAAGAACAAATGTCGTTGGGAACGGGGAAGCGCACGGCAATGCAATGGCTGGCATAACGTTTATGACTAACTAACTGACTGACTGACTAACGGACTACTCAACGGGTGACTCTGATAATCATTGCCGTCGATAATAGTGCAGCTGCAATACACACGTGTGAATAAACAGACGGAACACAGAACACGTCAGCGGACTTTCTCCAATCACAAATTGAAAGACCGAATTACTGACCGAGTGAATGAATGAGTAAGATCACCGCCACTAAATCAGCTTACACAACTTCAGCTCATTCGTAACCGTCAAGCATTATTTGTCATTACAGAAACGCAGCCAAATTTAATCATATTTGAACTCGCAGTGGTTCCCAAAAACTGATATTGCCAAAGCAGACAATGTATTGATCAGATATTTGATAAGTTCTAGAGGTTTTTTTTAGACTAAAACGGCATACAGCTAATGGTGTTGTCATTCATTTATTTTTGGTATTTGGCTATGTACTCTAATTCCGACAACTAGAAATTTTAATTTTGTTATTTTTTTTTTTTTAAAGGAATCAATTGAAAATCTATGGCGCAATTCTAAAAACAAATTTCAAAGAAAAATATTAAACTTAGAGAATAAAATTATAGACAAGGAAATGACTGTTTTATCAGAAAATCTGGGAACTGAAAGATAATCATAGACGATGATCTATAGGTAAAGTACCAACTATTAGTTTGTGGAAGGAGACAGCAATACTTCAACGAAGAAGCTTGATTATAACCCTTGTTGATACAGACGCACAAACAGAAAAAAGTAATCTGCTAGAACCATAGTATTACTTTTACAGACTCGATCGATGTTTTACATTATCTGGTGCTGATCCAATCTCTTTCAGTGTTGCAAATAACCATTTTATGGCGCGGAACTGGTACCCTTTTCTGCCGTAAAACTTAGTATAAACATGCTGATTAGTATATTTTGCGTTTTACGACTGGGAAAATTATTGATGACAAAGTCTGTTCAATTTTTTCTACCAAATTCTTTCGCTATTGTTGTGCCGCAGCACATTTCTGGCCGTTAAAGAAGTGACGTTTTGACAAGTTATCAAATGGTTTTTTTTTAAGTACTGGTGTTGGGTACAGGTAGAAGCAAAAGAATGCGATGTTTTAGAGGGAAAGTAATAATATTAAACTGTAAAGTGTTAAGGCAAAGTTAAATAAATACAAGAAATGACAAGCCATTAATATAAACAAAAACAGAGAAACTTTTACAGCAGTAAATGTTTCTCAAGTTATGATAAAGTGCGTGAAAAAAAAAAGACAAAAAAAAGAAAATAGAAATTATAAGTAGGCATGTTTATTTTCAAAAACAATAAAAAAACAAAAAAAAAAACAAATTGAGAGGCACATATATACAATTATAAAATATATACTTACTTCCATATGGAAAAGTATGAGTCATTTATACACTGCCTTCTCGCTGTTCATACCCAGTAAAACCATAACTGTTCTTCCGACATTTCATTCAAATAGACATGAGTTTAATTATTCAACCTCGAGGCTTAGAAATGAAGGCTATCAACTGGATCAAGGGTCTTCTCATAAGATAATTCGGGAAACGGAAATGTCCTGAGAAAAGACAATGGTCGTAACCCACAGAAAGTTTCAGGACGAAAACCACCAAAAAAAGTTAGCACCTCTTGGCTGTAGACGAAGATCGTTGTCAAACTGAATGTTTAAGCAGTTTTATATATCCAGGTATTCGTTACCCTATCTAATTAAATTTCTTCTTCATACAAATCAGTTACGTTCTGACTGACATTAAATCTTTCGCTTTGATACTCTGTTTAAATTATAGACATGTTATACTGAAATTCGAAATAGGTTTTTACACATTTCCATGATCACACAGAGCAGAGATACATCAGTTTACAACGGTGTAAATTGGTTCTCTACAATGCTAAATTCAGAGAAGCAGTTCGGTTAAAGTGGAATTTTATGGTAAAGAAGCACAGCAGATGACTATATTGTCCGCAACGTGACTGACTGCATGTCTATTTTTGTCTACTTCTTTGAATTTTTAGATGCACTCTAGCGTTCCTAAATCATGTTTTTTTTCGAAACCTTTGATTCATCACTCAACAGAATATGTATCTCTCAGGGAACAGATGTTTGAATTTACGAAGAAAGGTTAAGGCAAGCAGTATGTAGTTCATCCTCTTCTCTATATTACGCAACAGATCACACCGCAGAAAGTTTCAAATGTCAGAAAAAAATCAGTTAAAAATTTGGATTTTAGTCATCCTTTCTTATTGAATCGTTTTCTGTAAGAAACAAATGTCTCAAAAATGCTTCTTTTAAGCAATAAAAAGGTTTTAATGACAGCTGGACTGTGGCAGAACAGAACTAGACTGTTTTTAAAAGCCATGCTTTTGCACTAATTTTATTACAGTTTTCACCACTTAT